CAGATATGCATCTCCTGCCGGCACTGGGGCACAGGTTGTGTGGCTGCCCGGGCTGTTGCTCCTGCTGCTGTTGTTGCTGCTGAAGTTCGAAGATGGGCTTTTATACGCCATCTGGCCACTGCATCTTTGAATTTTGAGTCTCTCTCCTTCCAACTTCAAACAAAGTCTCACGGCAAAGGATGTGGGTACCAGGATATGTCAAGACTTTTGACTTTTTTGATCTAATACTGGGCCTACTCTTGCTAAGGACCAGAGGCCATGGGGGAGTGGTAGGGGTTTGGAGGAGATTTCTTGTGAGACCACCATCCAGTCTATGACTGTACGGGGTTTTTTCTTTTCTCTTTCTTGGGGGATGGGCACTACTGGGGAGTAACCCCAGGGCCTTCACACTGAGCTACATCCCCAGCCCTTGCTTACAGTTGTAATTTTTAGATAAAGGCTCACTAAGTCACTCAAATGTCCAGGCTGGGCCTCAGTTTGCAGTCCTGCCTCAGCCTCCCACAGGGCTTGTGTTACAGGTGTGCAGCACCACACCTGGCTGTCCTTGAAAGACTTCAGTAGGGGAAGGTTGGCTCCTCCCAGAGGGTCCGGCTCCTGCGGGCAGAATGTGGAGACGGAGATAGAAGACAGCGGCATCATTATGGTGATTCTTTTCTTGTCACTTGGACCCTTTGTGGAATCAAACACATGTCCAGTTGTGGCTAAAGAATTAGTTTTCTCCTTTCTTTGCAGAGCAGCGGTTTGAGGAAGGCTGTGCTTGGCGGCACATGGCGCTGTGGCTCAGGTGAGGGTCTCTGTCTTTCTTGGTGGGCTCAGCACGGTGGTCGAGCTCCACATCCCCACAGGGACACGTTCTGCTCCCCCTCCCATCTCTTTGGGTTTGCATTGCTCAGCGTTCACTGACTAATGCATGCGGCAGGTGGGGCTCCGTAGATGCCTCCTCCATGTGGACAGGAAGTGGGGAAGGCTGCAGCCTGGAGCTGGCAGAAGCTGGCCCTTTGCAACATGAGCTCCCTGCCCTGGCTGTCCAGGCTTCAGGGCTGGTTTGAATGAGGCCTGTCTTGGTTACTTTTCTCTCATTGCTGAGACAAAATACTTGACATCCAGAATTAAGAGGGAAAGGTTCATTTAGTTCACAGTCTGTGGAGGATTCAGTCCACTCAGCTGGCTCCAAGGCAGGTGGCACACGACAGGGGCAACCGTTTAAGGTGGAGAAAGACAGCAAAAGCAGCAAGAGCAAAGGGAGGAGTGGCAGGAAGCAGCCTCTTTCCCTCCCTTATAGTGTATGCAGGCTCCCTGCCCCAGGGCGGATGCAGCACTCACACCCATAATCCTAGCATTGGACCATGGATCAATCATAAACTCTAGCAGCCCACCCCATGACTGCATAAGGCTTTGAGGGAACATCCAGACACAAACCAAAACAGGGCCTGGGCTGGAGACCAAGAGAAATTGCTGGGCTGGAGACCAAGAGAAATTGCTGGGTGTGAAAGACACATCAGCAAACACAGAACGTCAGCCTGCTGTTGAGTGCCTATCTCGAGCTTTCCCTCGCTGTCCTGAGCCTCCAGGGACAGAGGCCCCGACCTCAAGTCTTCAAGGGGTTCAGCTCCCACACTGGACAGGAATTGCCCGTGACTTCAGGCTGCTTTTGTTCTGTGCTCTGGAAAAATCTCCCAAGTGAGTAATGGGTGGTGGGAAAAGCCTGGAACTCCTCTTATTTCAATGAAACCCTCTGGCCTGGAACTGAAATATGAATTCCTCGTGCTCAGACCCGGGGCTGCTGCTCAGTGACACACCCGGCCCCAGCGCACGGGAGCAATGTGCAAAAGCCACAGCACGGGTTGGGAAAGCAGTGCTGGGACCACGGTCCCCGCAGATGTGGGTTCAGGGCCGCAGGACTCTGGCACCACACGGGCACCACCAGCCAGAGCTTCTGCTTGGCCACAGGCTGGATGTCGTAACCCCCCTCTGCTCGAAGACACCACACTAAGCTGAACTTGTGAGATAAGGACAAAGGCAACTTCAAAACGCACCAAGTTCCAGTCAACAGCTTTGCGCTAGCAAGCCCAGTGCCACTGTTCTGCTCCCCTGGGCCAGGTTCTGCCTTGAGGATGCGGCCCTGGTGCCCACAGAGCCTGAGAGGAAGCCTCAGTGCACCGATTGCGCCTTCTGTCCCGCACCTAGACGCTGGGGGGCCTGCGCATCTCACTGCTGTCTCTGTGCCCTGTCCCTGAATTGCTGCATTCCGTTCTCATTGGCGTGGTGGCCTCATCTTTCACTAGCGGTGGGAACAGAACAGGCTCCTGAGAATACGTGTGGCCTCTCTTTCTGCCTGTGTGTGGGCACACGTGTCATGACAATGAAGTTTGTTCTGTGTGTCATTTTGTGGTGTGGCATCAAGGCCCATTTCATGGAAACTACGCTGCAAACAAGGACTGCTTCCTTCAGTCCTGAGGGATCACGGAAGAGTTCCGCTAAGCATCACACACACACAGCTGGGCGGCCTGACACTGGCTTTGCCATCCTGTGTCCCACACTCATACTGCTCGGTGGGCTGGGACACGGTGACCCTCTGGGTAATTCTGATCATCCGGGCGAGGCTCTTAGAGGAGTGTTCACTGAACCCCTCTTCGCTGAGCCCCTGCAGCCAACATTGAGTGGTTC